AACTGGGCTGATTTTTTTTTTGTGCCAAAGAATATGGTTGCCCTAAAGAATAATTTTTTTCCAGCTCGATTAGACGCCATCTTCATTTTCATTCCAAGAACTTTTGTTAGAACCCTCGTAAGTATCGTTCTTTTTGTTTTATTTCCTCTCCACCATTTATCATTATTCTGCTGCAGTTGCTCATGCAACACGGATATACGTGCTGCTGTGTACATAGATTCATACATCCCATGCATAATGTAGACCTCATTTTATTATTTCATATGTCAGACAAGATTCAGGAGACCCGGTGTCCTGCCACCAGCAAGGAGAGGTGGCAGCAGCATCAGGCGCACAAAAAGGGACCTATTGATGGTGACTGAGAACTCACTGAGTCATGACAAGATGTCACCCCTGCCACCGCCTTCCACTCCAATATGTCCTCGTCACCAACAGCAGCAACACCACCAACAGGTGCTGTTCACAGCAGTTACCGCTACTGTATACCGTATTGTCCTATCGCTGCTGATGAGATTGAAACTCTGCACACACATATACACACAAAGGTTTTCCCACTTGGGCACAACCTTGGTTCTTTCTAAAGTATAGGTCTGACTGTGATAAAAAATATAATAATACTAATAATAATAACAATAATCTGGTATAGCCATAAATTTCCAAGGTTTTGTGACTTTCATTTTATTTTTAAGTACATTTTTAAATTTATTGCATGTCAATGAGTGAAAACTTTCCAATTTTGGCCTTATAGTTCTCCACCCATGTCACATGATGCTAAAAAATGTCCAGTCATGCCAGCTAAAAATTTTTTGTTTTGTTTTGAGCAGCACTACCTAAAATTTGGAAAAAGGAATATGGTATATACTGTGTGTAGAAAACAAAATCTAGCAACCTGTGGCACATATAATGGTCAGAGATATCTGTGGCCGCATAGCTGAAATTTTTAATCATCATGCAGCAGAAATCCAATTTTTTTTTTTTAATCCGAAAAAAACATCTCAGAACCTAACAACTTTTATGGGCTACTGTAATTTATCATACAGCACTTTTTTCACAGATTGTGTTGCAATGGATCTCATTTATATTATTGCAGCAGACATCAGGTACCGCATCAGGCCATGATGCGGATCAGGAAAACAAGTCCTTCATACAGCAAATGAAGAACTTGGAGGCAGCTTCAGCCATGGAGAGACGGCGGCGAGCCCTGGCCGTGGACAGGTTCTCCAGATACTTCTTCCCCTTCTCTTTCAGTCTGCTCAACTGCATCTACTGGGCCGTGTTCGCCAACGCTGGGTAATGCTGCGCGTGCTGAGGCGGATCCAAATATTTTATATCTATACATATGCATTATAAATAGCGCTGTTGCTGCGTGCATGCTCTGCTTATGATCCTAACACCTCAGAGGATTGTTATTATTATTGGGTGGGCACTCCGCAGGTGGCACGCGCCTGCTTAAGCAAGCCAACCAACCAGCATCACGTGCACGTCATCTAGCTGACGCAGCGGCAACACCAGGGATATGGACACCCAGCACGAGTTGTGGTGACTGATGCTCTGTATACAGAAGAAGGATATGCTGTACAACAAAGGGCAGGCAAGGAAAAGTGCTGGGTCGTCCATTGAAACATGCAGGGAAATGCGGATGACCAAGTGCTTTTAAGATGGACTGGTACAGTGTGCTTCATAGGCATCGTCATCATGCATCAGTTGCGACGATTCACGCTGCAACTGCTGACGTGGAATAAATGATGAAGAAGAGGACAATGATGATTCAAAAGTGTCAAGAAAGAGAGAGAGCGAGAAATAAGCGAGGAAAGTGCAGCATAGACGATGGAGGAGTGGGGAGAGTGTGATGATTGTTTTTTTTTTTCTTCGTCGTCGACAAATGGCAGAAGTTGTAATTTGCTCAAAATCAGAGCCAGTGAATTACTGTACTGTATTCCTTGAATGTGTGTAGTTCGTCAATAGTGTGGAGCAATCGTTTTCTCAGGAGTGTGTTATTCTGATCTCAAGCAAGCAATTGATCTCGCCCGCGCGAGGACAAAGAGGATTGATGATATGAAGCTCACAAATAATGGATCCCATCAGGTATCACCACGGCACCATCGAGTCAGGCAGCCATCAGCGAACAACCCTGCTACAATAAGCAGTACTCTTCTTTTTTCAACGCGGAACAAGTCGGCTACGAGATAATTGGAGTATCTGCATGGTCAAGGGTACAATTTGTTCTGCACTGCATTGCACACAGGATGGCTGCGACTCGTAGAAAAAAATACACCATTCAATGTTTCCAGTGCTAAGATCCAATTCGGACATTCTTAGTGTGCATGTACAGTACTTGTTTAGTTGATCATTGGGACTGAGAGAGGGGTTAAGATTTGAGAAGTACACCTTGCGGTCCCGCGAAACTTACTGTGCGTTCCCCTTTGGTGTCACTTCCTTGAGAGCAGATTATACGGAATTGCAATTTTAGAACACATGGTTGGAATTCATTCATCTGTAAGCATGAATACTCTTGAACGCATTTCTTCTTCGTACTTTGTACGAAGAAGAAAAAGTGTAATATTGACTCGTTTCTTAATCTTCTAGAACATTCCACTCCAATCATCACTATCTGTTTTGATTTTGCATATTCATAATTTTATTTTTCCATTTCGAAACAGCCTTCACTAGGCATTGAAATGTACAGTGTGCTATCATCGTCATCGAAACATCTGCAAAATCTACGCGACATTATCGTGAATCCTTTCGAAATTCAATCAGAGCAGACTTTTCGTGCAAGAAATTCTTCCGGAAACGGGAAATCTGCACTACAAATACATTCACTATTATGACGATCTTCTGAAATCAACGAACACCTTTATGTTGAATATTTTCACGTGATACCCAAGATGTTTTTGTCGAATTCCACCACAACCACCTATTTCAGCGCCATGGAGGAAAACATGAGTACAGTACATCGAGAACCATTTCCAACTGATCAGCATGGTTCATGAAAACATGCTTCTTGACACGAACACCAACTCAAAATATATGCATTTCAATTCCAGTTCCTCTCCCAAATTCAATCGCCATCCGATCCACTCTCGCAGTGACACGTCGCTTTCTGGCTCAGAATTCCTCATAAATCAACGCGTTATTTCATTCACTCATGATCGAAACAAAAGACGGATAGAGAGAAGGAGATACGGTAAGCTGATCAACCGTGACAAAAAATGAAAGAAACGTTAAGCGATGATTAACGCCCTTATTGCTCCGATTGTTCTCCAATAAATCCGCCATATGAAAGCCTTTGAAAAAAAATCAACACGTGTGTGTCACAACCAGCAAATAACGAAATAAAATATAAATAAAAGAAAACAAGAACAAGTTAAACAGAAGGAGTGAGCGCTTCACACTAACGACGTCAGACACTGGAGACTGGATCCACAGTAGATCCAACGTCCGACTTGGTGAACTCAAATACACCCTCCTAAAAAGTGATAAGAATGAAACCCCACCCCCCTTGAAGTCTTAGCACGTACGCGTACAGCACCGGCGAACAGGGAGAGAGAGAGAGAGAGAAACAACACCAAGACTTACTCGACTATAAAGACGTAATCAGATCAATTCGTGCCAAGAAAGCAATCAATTTTTTCAAGAGGATGCAGCAACAGCAGCCAAGAAACACTGGCACAACGGAAAACGCGACGCATGCATTGGCACATCCTTCAGACACGAGCACGCAATTGCGCACACGCACTCGAAGCGGACGACCCCTTTTCACTCGTGTTTCACCTTCACAGTGAAACTTGTTCAGTACAACGGGATTTCCGCCACAAAGTGCACAGAAAATTCGCGAGTCTTTCTTATCCGCTGAGGAAAAGTGATCCGAGAAGGAGGGGGGAAAGAGAAAGAGGGAAAAAACACAAGCCATCAGAGACAGACAGAGAAAGGAAGAAAACATTGACCGGAATCAATCAGGCCGAGCAACTTGGCCAGTAGGGAAACTGACTTTGGCTTCCATATACGCGTTGCAGCATTTTCCTTCTTCCTCTTCAGCACATGCACCGACTCTCAGACTCCCGCGCCGGCTCCGCTTGCGGCTCCCTCAGGATTATTTCTGTCACTGCAACGCCAACAATCAAACACGGACAATGAACGCACACACACACAAAAAGTAAAGCATTCCATCGAGACTCACTCTCGTCCTTTTTGTTCTCCGTCGACTCCATCCCCGGTAGAGCTGCTGCCACCCGTCGAAACAGCTGTGGGAATAAAAGGAAGAAAAAAGCATGTTAACGAAATTGAAAGTCTCAGAAATCAGGACTTCTCACTAACCTGTTTCACGTTGTAACCTGCTTTCGCTGACGTTTCAATGAACATGACATTCAACTCCTTCGCTTTCCGCTCACCCTCCTCAGTCGACACTTGGCGCTTGTCAGACAAGTCCGTCTTGTTGCCCACAAGCATGATGATGACGTCGGAACCCCGCTCTGTCCGCACATCATCAATCCATTTCGAGGTTTGGTGGAATGAATTGGCATCTAGTGAAAATAAGATTTAATATATACAGTACATGTATTCATACGTATTGATGCGAGATTCTACGTTCTTCTCTCGCTTTCGAGGTCGAAAGTGACACACACTCACTCGTAATATCGTACACAACAACGGCAACAGTGGAATCTCTAATGTAGGACGGAATTAGAGAACGAAACCGTTCTTGGCCTGCGGTGTCCCACAGCTGCAACCTAACTGTTCGGTCTTCCAAGTACATGGTTTTCGACAGAAAGTCTATTCCGATCGTTGCTTGATACGTGTTGTCGAAACTGTCGTACATGAACCTCGTGATGAGGGACGTCTTGCCGACTATAAAAGCAAAAATACGATGATCCGTACGTCAATCAATTCCATTGGGGGGAAGAAATAAGAAAATTCCTTCCACTTACCGCTCTGTTCACCCAAGAACACGAGCTTGAACTTCCGTAAGGGATTCCCGAAGTCCCCAGAAGACGCCATTTCCGGCACTCGAAAAAGAATTTATCGCAAATTCCGCGATGACCACAATATCCAAGAATAGTAAAATCAGAGATAACCTTTACAGTGAGAAAAGGCACACAGTCAGAACCAAACCGGCTAAAGAACCAAAATTTGATTGCGCAACTCGACTGTCGACGTGCGCACGTGCTGAACCAGTGACCCCTTGATCATAAGTAAAAAAAATATGTTACGCAACCCTCCACGACACCCGTGAGAGGTTTCAAGAGTTCCAACATGTTGAACTTCACGATCAACACTGACGGATGGATGGATAGTCATCGCAGCTCAGCTCATAAAACAGAGACTTTCCCGATGAATGGATTTCCCCAGCGAGCTCATTCAAATTCGGGAATGCCCACTAGCGGAAGGAGTGCATCAACTGAAGCGAACAACACCGCTTCACATGCATTCCCACTGAACTAGATGTCATACCAAGTTACTTCATGTCCGTAGACAAAACTCCATCTAGACGTCATTTCTGACCTCGATTTATTAAACGGAAGGGGTGGTCTTTTTTTTTAACATGAAAGCATCAGTCCAACACAACAAAGAAATTCAGGTTCGCTAGATCTTTGTTTCATCCCTGCCGAAGGCACACGTTTGTCTTGCGAGGTAGCAATTTGCCAGAACAGCTGACTCCTCATCCGTACCGCGAAAACAAGTCGTTACATCACTTAAATCTTGCACGCATCTTCCTCCGCTTTCTCTTCAATCTCCGCATCCGCTTTTTCCTCCACTTTGCTCTCATTCCCAATTCACTTTCCCAACTCACAACATCCTGCAAGAAACAGTCAAATCACGATGACTCGGAGCAACACTCAATCAATACAATTCACGAAGTTCAAGATTAATTCGATGTTTCTTCCGCAACAAGTTCTCTTGCATTTCTTCCATGACAAAATCATGGACCATGACAGCGAGATCTTCCTTCTCTTCTTCATCTCCCTTCCAGAGTGTGTGTTCACTTGGATCTCGCCCTCATCTTCCTTCGCTTCCGCTTCAATCTCCGCATCCGCTTCTTCCTCCACTTGGCTCTCATCTTTCACTCGAAGCTTTTCCGCTTGACTTTTCCACTCACTGGCACATTTCTTCTAAAACAATACAAAAATCATTTTAAAAAATTATGAAAATTTAACGTAAAACAAAATCAGGAGAACCTCGCATCACACGAGTCTTTCTGAAAATCCACCAGACTAAACGAAGCTTTCCCTCAACTGGTTCATCTTCAATCCACGCGTAATGTCACGGCTCAAAGGGTAACAAAATAATGTATATTCGGAAGCTCAACTCAGGCAGCCTCGATCAAAGACCGTGAAACAAATAATAATAATATCAATAATCAGTCTGTTTTGTTCAAGGCACACACAGGAAGGACATCTGCTGAAAACCCCTTTTCTCGACTAGAAAACAAAAACAAACAAAACAAAAAACATTCATTTGATTGACAATGGGACGGGTCGGGTCGAGTCAGGTCGACGTTAGGATGCCGAGTGGTTGTCCTGCTGTTGCGACCTGCACAAGTACTTCAGCTGCTTCTGCACAGCCTCCATCAGCTTCTTCTTGTCTCGCTCCGTTTTCTTCAGCGACGTGAAGAGTGGCTTCTTCTCAGAGCCGCGATCGAGGCGTTCGAGTAGCATGAGGGCCACTTGCGGCGACACTCGTAAGTACTTGCTCTTTTCCTTGCCCACGTCGTGGAAGTAGGTGGACCAGTCCCAGGCCGTGAACAGGTCGAGGATCTGGCGCACGTCGGCAAAGCACAACAGCAGCGCCGTCTCGTCAATGCCCGGGATAGGCGCCGAGCACGCGAACTGCTCGCACTGCAGCACGTCCATGTTGAATTGCATGAGAGCGCCGTTGGTCATCTGCTTGATCCCGGGGTCGAGCAGCACGGGCAGCATCTTCTGGCCAATGTGCTGGCAAGCGTGGATGCAGGCCGCCGTGCCCACCTTGAGCGGCAGGCCCCGATTCACAAAGGCCTGGAACGTGTTCTCGAGAAAAGCCACCAGGTCCAGCATGTAGGAGCTGGCGTGGCCCTCAGCCTCGTCCAGCATCCAGTCGTACGAGTTCAGCTCCACAAACTCGTCAATTTTCTCGCGCAGCTTCTCGTAGATCTGGTGCTCGGCCTCGGCACACGCCTCCTTGAACATGTCCTTGCGGTCCAGAGTCGCGGCGTCCCCGGTCCAGCCCGTCACGGCGCCGATGTACGCCTCCACGTGATGTTTCGCCTCCTCCAAGTGGTTCATGTTGACAAAGATTTGCATGAGGTGCGTGAGGCCGAGCGTAGGCTTCTTGAGCAGGGCGCAGAGACAGCCGCACAGCGTGCACGACAACAGGTCCTTGGTCCACTTGCGGATGGCGTCTCGCACCTGGGCAATATTGAGGCCCATACCCGACGAGAAGGCCAGGCACTCGTCGACAAACTGCTTCACCTGCTCGAACACCTTCGGCACCATGGCCGAGAAGGGGAATTTTCGTGGGAACTTGTTGGTGGCCGCCACTGCTGTCTGGCCCTCCGTCGTCTCGGTCACCACCGGAAACGCGTCCGCCAGTCGGCGCCACTCCTCCTCCGTTCTCACCTCCATCGGCTGGTAGTCGTCCTCGTTGAAGATGACGCGGAAGATCTCGACAAATTTCTTCATCAGCAGGGAAATGTAGTGGTCCTGGATGCCCGACACGATTACCATCATGTCCTTGATCTGCAAGTCGAAGCCCTTGAGTGCGTGGCAAAAGGTCAGAATGAGCTCCTTGATGCGGATCATCTGAGTGAGATCCGTCGACACAGACGCCTCGTTGCCTATCGTTTGCTTGATCTTGGCCAGGGCCTCTTCCCACAGGCTAGTGAGGAAGGCTCGCGACACTAGGTCGCTTGAACTGACGGCCAGACGGTGTTCCACGGCAAAGAATCCGACCACGCCGAGCAGGTACTCTTCATACGCATTCTGAAAGTAATAATAAATACTGTACAGTACGGCAAAAGAAGACGACGAACGCAAAAAAAAAAATAAATTTTAAATAAATCGACGTCGACATTGGTAAAGGCTCGCTCACTTCGCTAGCGTGCATATTGGACGGAGGCTCCAAAGCGAGCTGCACCTGCTTCTTCCGCTGGATGCGATAATAGTCGATGAACTCTTGTCGACTCTCAAGCAAGGTGTACAAGTGGAGGCAATGATGCACGGGCGTCAGGTCCACCATATTCTGCGCGGCGACTTCCTCGACCGCGTCGCTGCTCTTGACAGCCTGATCCACGGCTATCCTGCCAATCTTCGGCGCCAACCGACGCACATTCAACAGATAGTCCTTCAGCTCGGACTGAGCCGCAGTTTTGATCTCTTGCTTCAGCACTGGCAATCTCTGTCGCATCTGGGACGCGAAATTGTAAGGAAACAGCTTCGGCAACAGATCAGATTCCAGTGCTTCCAGGCTCTTGAGCGAGTTGAAGTAGTCCTTCTGCGAAATTTCCTTCTCGAGCCGAGAGTAGGCCTCGAGCACGGGCAAGCAGGAAGAAAGCGTGGTCATTGCCTTCTCGATGTTCTCCAAGACCACTTGCGCCTTGTCCACTTCCTTGCCCAATAAAACGATCTCTCTCCCTGAAGACCTGACCGAAAACAAAACAAAAAATACATATTTTATTGTGAAGCGTCGCCTTTCTGTAAGGGACACGAATATTCCAACTTACTTGGACATTTCCATGATTGTCTCTAGTTCCTCGCGGACCTTCTCCGACTCTCGCCGGTGCTGAACAAACTCTTGAAATGAGGAAATGAAGTCCTCGTAGGATCCATTGCAAATACGCTCTATTTCCTCGTCCTTTTGCTCGATACTGAGTTTCAAGTTCTTCATCAAACCCAGCAGATGCTCTGTCGTTTTCACTTCGCGAAGATCTGCGGCGAGGTGTTCCCCGACGTATTCCATACTCGTATCTTTCCCTGGGAAAGACATCTGCCAAAATAAATGAGAGAAGAGAAAAAAAATCATCAATTCTTACATTCCGAAGTCAACACATTCGACTCGAGAGAACAAACAAAGCAGTGCACTCGGAATGGTTCACACGAATGTTTTGTCACCATGGGTTCTCAATCAAATCACAATATCGCCATCACGGGAATTACAAAAAACTCAAAAAAAAAAGAAAGAATCGGAGCTACAAAGGTGTCTACAGAAAATACGGATCCTCCAGTTGAAGCACTTGAAAAAACTTGTCACAATCGCTGCTCGCGATACCAGGCAACGCTGTGTAAAAGCATGTCCGTCAGTTTCACCACTGGATAAAAAAGTTTCATCGGACAGCCACTGGAAGGGGAAGAAAATTAATTAATCAAGCATGCATATTTTCGATCACTAACTTTCTCCACACTCACCCGAACGGCTCCGTCACCGACTCGTGAGCACTGATGATCAGGATTGGAAAGAACACAGAGAACAGGCAACCACTGAAAATGAACGCTTCAGCAGCTTGAGCGGGATTCATTCAAATCCAAGGAGAGCGTACCTCACAAAATAGGAATCGTGGAAGGACGTGAGGACGGACATCGGCAGCCCGAACCCGACGAAGTACGGCCAGTGCAGCTCGATTTCTTCCAATCGGCGGTCCAACGCCCACCCCAAACTGAACCACTTGTACTCAAAGGCGTACAACGAGTACAAAAAACTGCGGTGGAGCAGACCGAGAAGGTTTCCAACCCAAACGATCGGCAAAGACGTAACAATAAGACTCTACGAAAACAGAGACAGATCCATGATTTTTATCCCTTTTTTTTAGAAATTTATGAACAATATACATACCTGAACGAGGAATAAAAATTGAATGAATACACTGAGCAAAACGTCGGCAATGAGTTTCCCAAATGGATGAACACGAGGAACGCGGCCGTGCGTGCGGCTGAAGGTATAATCAGCAATGTCCTGAAGGAAAAACAATCAACACCTAATTATTTGAAACGATTTTCCAGTTTCGGGGAGTTTACTCGCCTGAAACCAAAGGAAATTGATGATCCTCGATATCAAGAACAAAGGGATGATCCACATCACAGAGAACAGAGAATTGAGCACGGGGTACAGGTACCTCCAAGCAACTGGACTCGGAGAAATTCTTTCGAGCACTGGAAGCAGTACGCTTCCCCACACAAGAAGACTCAATAGAAAAATCCCGCCATTCAAAGCGCAGCATTGCATTATCTTCCTAACGGGCCTAAAGAAAGAAATGGAACACCTGGGAGAGCTGGAGATCATCGTTTCAACTCATGGACTTACTTCTGCGGATCAGGCATCGACTTAGATTTGTTACGCGCCTTCGTCACATTCACCCCATCAGGCTTTCTCTGATAAAACGCTAGTAATACGATTGATCGAATGCCCCGAAAACTATCTATCACACCACGGAAGAAACCGTGGACCATTGATCTTGTCGACATCTGCAGTGGCGGAGGAAGGCATGAATGAAGCGACGATAAGGGACAACATGAGTAACACATCACACGCTACGTTGCCTAGTTATTGCCCATTCTCGAACGCGGCCATGATTTCGACACTTATACTTAAGTTAACAGCAAGGGCTACGCATTTTAGGGCGACCTGAACGTATAAAACAAAGATCACACGAGAATATACTGTATTCTACTTCGGGAAGAGTAGAATCGCCCCTGATCAGACTCCCTCAAGTAGATAACATTGCTGGTTAGGTCAAACATAGTTATGTGATAATATAGAAGTCCGATATTGAAAAATACACGTTTGAGTTAATTTTTTTTCTATGCACACGAGTAACGAACACTGAACCCAAGATACGCGAAAGTAGAGCCTAAACTGTATTGGTTCAGTTCTGCTTCACAAGCCTCAGCAATTGCCTGAAAGAATATTACCTTTTTCCTTCTGATAAGGGCACCTGCGGACACTTGAGCGGACACTCAAGACACGAGCTACTGCTAAATCAGCCCTCACTTCCCACAGAAGGATCACTCATTCATGCAGGTTTCGAATGGTCACCAAACCCGTTTTACAAAAAACGACACGCCCATTCGGCTGTGGAATCGAAAAGTTAGTTCTCTTCCGTGTGTGACATCTACTGTGTGAGTTTAGAAGTTTAGTCAGTAGGGTGGACCCTTTTCTGGAGTTCTCAAAATTGATCCCCACAGAACAATAAGTGTTATTCATAGAAGTTTAGACAATATTTCATCCTGATAAAATGAGGTTTCAATTTTTACGAACTACCCGGTCACAGATGGTATCAGAATTGACAGACATTCATTCGTCCCCACCTTTTTTAGTCATGTTGCAAACAGTACGTGAAGGAAGAATGGATTAACTGTTTAGCCGAGGTAGCGGGAAAGAAAGTCAACTTCCATTGAGTTGCAAAACAGGCTGTCGTGCGGTATTGCGTCAGTATACTGTAGTAAGAAACGTCGTTTCAGCGACATCTATACGGAGGAATAGGAACTGACACGTACAACGAGCCTACTTAATGGACCCAGGAACACGGATGATGGGAAGTGGGGCTGTGGACGCTAAGGAGTGGAATTGACATTTGCTTCTGAGCTTTTGACGAATCGATTACTTTGGTTGTTGTCCTTGTGTTGTGATCTACTAATCCACTGTGTTTGTGTTAATCGTGACACGTTGTCGAAGTCCTTATCATATACCTTATTGTATCCATCACCATTATGTTGTGTGAAGCTGAATATTGATCGACAAGATGTATTGCTTAAGTTCAGTGACAGTTCTGAATCTTATTCCACATGAAACGGACAGCGGCACACTGGCATTTTTGAGATGGAACATCTTCATGGTCTTCGTTTTAATTAGCAATGAACCCTTTCTCATGTTTTTCAACCACTAAAACCTAAATGAGAATTTCCGTACAACATTGACTTAGTAACGGCCGACCAAGTCTTACTTGTATAACCGGGGAAGGAGGGATTCTAAATTCTTATGGTCATCCATCAATTGATACAGTGCAGCAGTTTTAGAGAACTGAGCATCACCCGATTTTTCGCTTGCTGATTTTCAGTCTCAAAAATCCTTTGAGCCCGTGAGAGACTGTAGAACTGTTAACTTTTGTTTCTCGTGCGTGACTAAATTCTTTTTGGTTTAGTGTTTTTAAAAAAGTTTTATCCTGCACTATTCGGAAGAATAAAACCGAATTGAGCGAACTTTTTCAGATGTTTCCTTGAAAAATCTTTGCTTGATTGATATTAGAATCTAAGTAAAGCGGCAGAGATGAAAGCTTGAATTTTGGGGTCTAGTGTACTTTTTGTCGTTATAGAATAATCTTCTGGAATTCTGCTGAACAAAATTTTTGTGAAGCTTTTGGGTTTTATAACCATGGTACTGTATAACCCAAACGTGTTGTTTGCTTGCATAGATGTTGATGCTGCGCCGATTATTGAAGTGAGTGGACGAACGAAGACAACTGGTTGTTGGGGTAGGGGCGAAATGAAAACCGTTTACGTGGTGTTGTGCGTCGCCTGGTGCACGTGGACAGGTATTGCGAAAGATACAAATTCTGATATCGAATTTTCCGACCCCGGCACAAGCAATTCGGAGACATCTGACGTCGAACACCTTCGCGGCATTAATGACGCCACTGCTTCCGTCGGCAGTTTGTTCCGATTAGAAATTCCGAACGATGCCTTTTTTGGGCCCCAAAGGAAATACACCGTGAGACTCTCAAATTAACGCGGAAAGAATGTGAAGTTTTGAATGATACATTGTTACAAATTTTTTCACCTTAGGCGGGTGGTAAAAACGGAGGAGCGTTGCCCTTGTGGTTGTCTTTCGATGAAGAGAACGGAGTTTTTGAAGGAGTTCCGCTGGATGTCGACATCGGGCACTACTTGATCCGCGTGCATGCTCTTCCGCTGCGTCCCGGACGTGGGGCCCACGACGACTTCTCGATCGAAGTGGTTCCTCGCTTGTATCGCGCGGAAGACCTGGCGAAACACGCCGCTGACGAAGCTTGTCCGCCAAAGTCTGACCTGACACTGGCCACCATCATACTCGATCGTGACCCGGTGAGAACGGACGGCATCACGCGAGTGTCCATCATTCGAAATTTCGCCGGCTTCTTCTCCCTGGAGACGGAGAAAGTGGACCTTATGTACTTGCGCGAAAATGAACGAGATCTTCAAGAGTCGGGGAATGTGATTCGCGGTGGGCCCGGCAATGTGCGCGGACGAGCGTCCAAGTGGTCCTTTGTGCTGCAGTGGCTCGTGGGTTGCAATGGCGACATCTGGAAGTCTTCGGAAACTGTGCTGGACGACATTGCCAAGTACGCGAAGGAAGGCATGCTTGCCACCATCTTAATGAACACAGGGATCCGGGGTTGGCACGTGTCCGTCTTTGACCCCAGTTTCCGGTCGAGACGCCAGGTTGGTTCCGGACAAGACCCCGACGCCGAAGACGGAGACCAGGACGTATTCGAGCCGCCGTCTGTGGCAGAGAACGAGATCCCGGATGAGGACCTCGGACGTCCGAATTCCATTGTTGCTCCGAGTCCTGTCTTCGACCTCACACCGTCGTCAACGTTTGATTTTAACAACTGGGATGAGCTTGTGCTGTCGACTACTTCGTTGATCACACCGATCCTGCGATCTTATATTCCTCTCTCGACCCCTGTGCAAGTGCCCGTGAAGCCAACTTTGATCGTGGACATGACGGACTTCGATTATTTCCCGGAAGTGATGACTGCTGTGCTTTCGACGGCCGCTTCGCCAGAAAACTCTCCGATAATCGAAGAGCCATTGAAATCGTCCGATTTGGGAGACCTTTCCTCGTCGATCAATACGAATCCGGTCGAGTTCTCGACACTCGTGGGGGATATCGAACCCACTGTGTCTGTCGTGATGGAATCGTCGACAATCATTCCGACTGTCAGCATCGACGATAATCTCGTTGGGACGAAGAAGAACCGACAGCCTGCGCTGAATAAGCGTTTGGCCAAGCAAGCCGTAATTGCTGGTACCGTCATCAAGTAAGTACTTTTTTATTTTTTATTCGGGAAATATATCATGCCTACCTGAACGTTGTCTACGTTTGTTAATTAAAGGATTCAGATACCGGATGACACCTTTGAAGACTTCGAGCAAGGCAACACGAGGAGTTTGCACTTGCTGCTGAAAATGGATAACGGGACAGCATTGGGTCCGGAGTCGTGGATTCAGTTGGATCCGAAAGAGCAGATCATCTATGGAATGTGAGTTGCAGTTGTTGTCTTGACGCTCACCTTCGTTGAAAGTGCTATTTTTAATTGTCTTTGTTTGCTTGAAAATAATTGTTGGTGTCCTTTTTTATTATTTGACAAGACCTGCGGAAAAGGACATCGGGCGATGGCGGTTCGAGCTGGAAGCCATGGACAAGGACGGGGACGTTATTAGTGATATGATAGAGATCATCGTGAGACAGGACCCGAAGACTCGGGTTGTCAACCATGAATTCTCTGTTGAGCTCAAGCTTCGGAAAAAGTGGGTATTTTATTGATTCTTTCAGAACCGTCTGGACTGATGAACCTATTATTTCAACAGGTACGCGGTGCATTACGAGAACGACGTGGATTGGAAACGCGACATTGTTCAGAAACTCAGCGATATCCTGGGGGACGAGGATATGAAAAATTTCGCGGGCCTGAACGTGGTTGTTGACGATGGAGCCCCGACAGACGGGATCACGTTGACGTGGTGGAATAATTCCCTGCCAACTCACACGTGTCCCGAGGAAGAGCTGAAGAAGCTTCTGAAAGTGAGTGTCGTGCACTGTGGATGATTGGCATTGCGTTGGGATTAATAATGAATTTGTTGTAGGAGTTGACGACGAGCAAAGACGGAAGTCTTCTGAGGTCGGCGACGGACGCCCTGCTGCCCGAGTTTGACGGGAAACGGGCGTGGATTGACTTCAAAGGATCGTGTCGTGCCAGTAGTCCGCCAGTGGAAGCGCCGACCACGAAGCCGCCGTCGCCTGAGCGGAAGAACAACAAGCCGGTCATCGTTAATCCCATTGATCAAATCGTTGCCCAATTTGGAAAGTTGCTGCGTTACACTGTTCCAGAGGTAGATATAATTCAAGGAACATTGTTCTGTATGTACAGTATGTAAAAGAGAAGTGAATTTTTGTGTGTGTAAGATTTTATGGTTGAGTGAAAATCTCTTCTTTTTTTTTTTCTCTCCTTGTCTTTCAGAAAACGTTCTATGATGAGGAAGACGGTGGAACGAGGAAGCTAAAGTTGGAGTTGAAGAACTCTCATGATTTTGGTCCAATTCCTGTGGAAAACTGGCTTCAGTTCGACTCGAATAACCAGGAGTTTTACGGTCTTCCGATGGAGTCGGATCAGAGGCGTCAGGAATACACCCTGGTTGGTGTTGATGTGTCGGAACAAGCAGGAAATGTTTGTGTCTCATTCGACCTTTTCAGAAATGCACGGATTCCCAGGGCGGATTCGTCAATGACGTCGTGGAAGTGGTGGTCCACTCGAGACCGTATGAGCGGGTGAATGTGGAATTTAGCGTGACGATCGACGCCAGGTTCGAGGAGTTCAGCGTGGACACGGTGGCCAAGACGATTTTGGTGCGGAAGATTGCGGAGTTGTTTGGGGACTCGGACACAAAGCACATCAGTGTCAAGTCGATCGACGCGGGCTCTGTCATCGTCACGTGGTGAGTACTGTACAGTATTTTAGGCGAAAGAAGAAAACGAAACTCGAATCGAACTAACTTTTTCTGTTTTGGAATCGTTGCGCAGGTACAACAGTTCTCTGCCTTACGACCCGTGTCCGCATACCGAAATTGCGACGCTGCAGAAAGTGATGCTGCACGCTGTCAATGGGTCCGTGACGCGACGGCTCGTGGAGACGTTCCTGCCGCAGTTCCACGTGACGGATGCCAAGCTGACGCCGACGCGGAACTGTCTCGGGGAGCAGACGCCGATAGCACAGCCGCCGCCGCAGGAGACGATCCCCGAACTGGAGCCCGACGCCGAGGCCGCAGACTACCTCGTCACCTACATTGTGCCGGCGGGGATCCTGGCTGCCATGATCCTGGTGGCACTCATCATATTTTGTATTCTGTACCAGAGGCGACGAAAGGGCACAATGGAGGTGAGGAATTCTCGCGCCTGTCAACCGCTTCGTGTAATCATCGCTTCTTTATTTGTTCCTTTCTCCTTGACAGATCAACAAGGCCATGACGAACAAAGGCATTCCTGTTATATTCCAAGAAGAGATGGATGACGGGAAGCGTGATACTGGGAAACATCCGATTATCTTGGGCCGAGAAGACGAGGAAGGCACTGATCCGAAGCGTACTTTGCCGCCGCCTAGGTGAGATAAGCAGAACAAAGCCCGTTGCTGGTGATTAGTATGTTTGTGTCTCTGGGTTTGTTCAGGTTTTCATTTGTGTGATGTTTTGAATTGACTTTTTACTCACGGGAACGTCGTTTATTTTAAGAAACGGCACGTTAGTCATCCAGAGATTGTTGATGCACTGATTTTCCACGACAATACTCAAAGGGGCCAGGGGAAAAAAAATCGAGTTACAGGAATTTCATTGTTATACAGTACTGTGCAGTATAGGACTGATTCTAAATTAGTATGAATTAAATCATTCTCATCCCCCGTGACCCTGTGATGGGGCATGTTGAACAGGGCCTTCTCACGCTTGTTCTATGTTCCTTTTTGTCCTATACCTGCACGTGTATATTGGTTCCAGGTATGGGGCGTCGCCGTCGCACATGATGGATCCGTCGGAGATCACTCCGTTGAGGGATGACGTGGATCACCACCAACATCAGCCCGACTACTTTCCCTACCGTGGCGGCGGCGGCGGTGGCGGAGGTGGTGGTGCGCATCGGCCTTTGATGGACGCACAGGAGATGGATGATCTGACGGGCTCGCCGCCATACCAGCCACCGCCGCCGTTTCCGATGGACGTGTCCCGACACGGACGCGTGCCGCACATGGGTGGTGGTGGGGCGCGATTCCATAGCGCCAGACCGAACCCGCCGCCAAGCTATTCAATGCCGCCGCCGTATGTGCCACCCTAAGAGTAACGAAAGAGCAAAGGTCGGTGTCGCCCGAGGCTCCTGCTGTACCCCTCTTGTCTTTCCTGCTCGTTCCTTTTCCTTTCGTTACCTTGCCTTTCCTTTTCCACGAGGAGACGAGTGGGATTCTCTAGGAAGGGAAGAACTTTGGTTCACAGGCACGATTATGTCCCACAGAAAGAAGCGTGACGTGGAAAAGAACTTTGTTGGTTTCCGCTCGACTTGTCGGGCTGGAAATTTTGAGGAATTTTAGTATTGTTTTTGTCGCTATTGTGATTGCAATGCATTAGTTGTGGAATTGGCTGTAAATCGAATGACGAATCCATTCATGTCTTCAGGCGGGTGATGTTCATCATCATGTTTTAGTAGACCCGATCATTTTGTATTTTCTTTCTTTCTTTGGGACATGATCGGAGTTGGAGCAGACGTAACGAAGTCATTGTTACTTCTCCTTCTGATTCTCAATTAATTCCTTTCGTGCCATGCAAGTTCCTTCAGGAAAAAAAGACGCACTTCTCTGACGATATTTTCAAACTATTGCGCCTTTTGAGGGACAAGGGTTGCATCTCGTAGGTCCTGTCAATGCTGTCGTTCCTTCCCTTCGTGGCGGGATTTTGTTTTCTTCTTCTCCTGCGTCACGATCGGAATCCAAGAGTCATCTTACGCCCAACTATTATGCGGTTGCAACGTTGAAAGTTTCGGGGGTAATGCGCTTTACTTGTTTTTTTTTTTTTTTTTCTTTAGGCAGGAGACTTATCTCAAGCTTTTTTGGGTGGTAGCTAAACTCTTGTGGCGTCCGTGTCGCTTATTAACAGAAGCTTATTGAGTTTGTGTTCCATTTTATTTGCCGAATGCTGCTTTTTTGACGGAATGATTGCGAGGAGGAGTTGAGCACATTGAATGCGCGCAAAGCAATTTTATGTAACCCATTATATTTATTAATTTTTTGCTACTAGGTTTCTCGAAACCCTCATCTATTTGTGAGCAATGGCGGCCGACTTGCTGCGTATTTTTTAGTTTTTCTCCTCCTTGAAAGAGACATTGCATTCGAAAACCATTGTTGATTTATTTACTCGTTGATCATTTGTTGACTCCCATCACTGCCGAGGTTAATGGTTTTGTTTTATCGAGAGTCGCCGGAGAGGAAAAGGAAGTCTGTGTTGTCCAAAGTAATCTCCTGCAGAATTGAATCGGTGTCGTCTAATGAAAGTTCGGCGCCGAGGGAATTTGATCTTGTGCTTTCCATCCGCGTGGAAAAGTAGAAAGAAAGGAAAGAGGGAAAGACTTGTTTTGAATGCATGTGTGTGTCGGATGATGGCAGTGTGAGAGGCGATTTCTTCGGGTCGAGTCGAGTCGACACAGTTACATATCTGAGGTCCGACATTGTGCCAAAGCGAGCGACGTTGTTCGGATCTGGAAGCTAGTGCGTGCGTGCGTGCTCTTATTTTTGATTCTAGAAATTGACGGGCTTTTTTTTGTTTTGTCTCTGGCCGCTCACATTGGTTTTCCGCGCGTCGAATCATCTTACTCAGGTTCTGCATTAGCGTGATAGAAGCGAAAAAAGGCGGAAGGAAGGGTGGGCGGGCGGTTGTTTTCAATTACCCAAGTGTCCGTATCCCCTTTCGGTTTCATCTTATCGGCGGGGCAAATGATTAATGTATTCAACAGCAACATCAGCAGCAGCCGGTGCATCGTTTAAAGAAAAAGACAGAGTCGTCGAATTTTTGGGAGCGGATTATCGAGTCATTCCTGGGGAATCTTTCAGCGAGTTTAGCACCACCTTTTTTTTGTTTCTTGTCAACTGGACCAAAAAAGAGAAGGAAGAGGGGGAAAAAAAATGCCCGACTGGAAAAATTTAGCCGCATGTTTCAGAAAACAGCTAGAAGTTTAGACGGTGGGGCCACAGGCCCGTCTCACCTAATTTGATTGGTGTGCGCATGAAGAGAGAGGTGACGCGAGGAACAAAGAAAGACTTGGGCGTTTATATTTTCGTCGGGGAAGATGAGAGATAATCGCTGTGAGTACTGCTGCGGATGACTGGGACTCGTAAGTATTTCTTTCTTTTTTTTTTCCTCTTGATGATCTTCCCTTTTCTCGCCGCAGCTTCCTCGTGTAATGCGTGAAGCGGGAATTGCAGTTAGGTAATATGTAGTGTGTGACGTGTAGACGCTGAAAATTTGGCCTGTACATTCATCGAAATTTCGACAGATTACGGAAATTGTGTTGGATGTCGAGTGAAATCGGCGGCTATTTATTTATTTTTTTTCGATCTTCCAGGATCGCGTTTGTCGATTTGACTACGGTTTCCGTGTTCAGTGGCATTAGTTTTAATTGTTGCCAGAGTATTACATCGAATTTCGTCTCGAAAAAGAATTTTTCTCCCGTCTGGAGAATCCTGTCTGCTTTTGTTTTTCTTTTTGCTGCTTCTGTGTTGTTTCGAGCAACGTAATTATCGCCAGATCCCGGATTTGGTGGGAAGCTAATATGAAAAGGTTACGAACGTTTAAATTTTCATTTTTCAATTGTTTTTCTCGCGTCGAGTGGGGGCAGGTTTAGTTTGAAAGCACGATACTGATGATTTATTGTTGCAGATGCGTGTCGCGGGCGAGTTACTGTTGTTGTTTATGGTGTTGGGCGCGTCTAGTGCGATGAAGCCCGTTTCGTTGTCGGTGAAGGTTCAGCCGCGTTCCAGGGATTGCTTTTACGTTCCCATCGTCGCTGGGAAGACGCTGTTCGTGTCCTACGAGGTGAGAAAAAGGGGCTGGTTGTGATGAGAATGTGGAAAAGTGAGCGTTTGGTCGTGGGGCCATTTCTATCGGGTTGCGTTATTCAAGTAAACAAATATGTACATATATATATATTTTTGTTTCGAATGATGATTTGACAGGTTCTGGATGGCGGGATGGGTGAATTGGACATTGACTTCTTGGCGCGGCGGTCGAGCGACTCGGCGCCAGTGGTGTACGACCAGCGGGCCATGACCAACGAGCACGAGATCGAGGCGGTCGAGACGGGTGAGGTGGAGTTGTGCTTTGACAACTCTGTGTCGCACGTGAACGCCAAGACGGTGTGGTTCGACGCCAGTCTCCGCGGCGCCGATGGCAAGTCCGAATCGGACGACCTGGAGTTTTCTCAACTCGTCGAGGACGTCTCCTTGTTTTCGGGCACCGTCGAGGACATCAAAGTGAGATACGATGAATCAAGGGAAGTTCCTTGAATGAAAAATTAATTTATATATTGACCGACTGACTGAAGGAGGCTATTTCGGTGATCCGTGCAAACCTGGCCAGAGCGCGGTCCCACCAGGAGACGATTCGCACGCACGAAGCCAGGGACAGGAACATTGCGGAGAACAACTACAACAGAGTGAACTCGTGGTCCGTGTTCCAGCTGCTTTTGATGCTGCTTGTTGGAACTGTGCAGGTGAGTTTGATTTTTTCCATGTTCTCCTTGTTGACCTTGAGTATATACTGTACATATACAGTATATATATTTTTACTTTTCCCTTGTTGAATACCTACTTGATTGTGTCGGATTTTTAAAACTCAGGAAGCTTGTTGAGAAGCATGGTTTTTTTCTCTTTCTTGTCTTATTGAAATTAGAATTATTTTATGTAGTTTGGAAATTAACGTTTGAATTTTGGAACGGTTGTATTTTGCAGGTGGTGATGCTGAGAAGCCTGTTTGACGAAAAGTCGGTTTTTCATAAATTCTGGGCGCGGCTTTGTTGACGGAAGTAAGAGTTGCTGACACGCCGGGGGTGTACGGTATACAATATATTTTTGTGGGCATAGAAATATTTTGAAAAATCGCCAGTGCTGTGTCTAGTCGGGAATAATGACTGCGGCATACGAACACTTTACGTTTGAAGGGGGATTCGGGCGGAGATCTCGCGCGTGTGGGTTGCAAGAGTGGTATTCATTTTGTTTGTTTTTCCTATGGTTGTGTTCACCGCACCTCTGCTCAATGCCAATGTCCCTTTTTTTAATTGAGGAAGTGATCGAGATTTGATGCGTTAGTGATGCCCAGATCCTGGTTTATTTTCGCTTCCGAAGGTTTCTTTGTGGTTGCGTGCGTGTGTTTTCCGGTGCTTGAACGCCATGGGCCTCGGTTTGAGTAAAAAGATGGACGAGAACCTGCGGAAGCAGCAGGATTTCACCATTGAGATGCAGAGGACGCAGGTAACGAGAGACGTGCATTTATTTTTTTTTATTTTTTCCCTCTCAAATGAGATTTCAGGTCTAAGGTATAATTTTCTTCTTTTTTATATTTATTTTGTAGCTGGAGCGACAGGCTCAAATGCAGAATTTGATTCGAGAGCGAAACGTTGCGTTGCAAATTGCTAAATCTCGTGAGCTTTTCTTTTGGTGGTCAGCGTTCTACGCCATAACCTCTGCTGGTCTCCTAATCCAGTGAGTCTTTTCTTGTGCTTGCTCAACGTGATTTGCTTCATTCTGTCTTTACAATTCGAAAGGTATCGAAAACAGAGACGTCCCGTGCTTGTTGCGCCACTGCTTCCGCTCACGTTTATTTTCGCTTATCAAGCTGATCTTGCTTACGGGAATAAGCTGCTGAGAATCCGAGGTTAGTATGTTGACTCGCCAATTGTCGGAAAGTGGGTTCGCCCCTGCTTTACTATGAAACCGTGATTTAGCCGAAGCCGAGTCGATCATGCAGTTTGAGAAGAACCTGGTGGAGCTGCCGTATGGTGTCCCGACCACGTCCGCCATCGACCAGGCGAGGATGAAGCAGACGGACGACCGACGGCTTCAAAAGGTGCATGATGTTTACTTCTGAGCGGTGTCTTCGCTGCATCTGGTCTGGCAGAGCGTTGGATTCGGTAAAAACGATTTTAGCCGGAGTAATAGTAACAATAATATTCCCTAGGTGACTTGCCGTACTTTTTGTGTGGGGTTTGTAATCTGACTAAGTTAGTCAAGTGAGAGAAAACAAAATGTGAGGACGCAAGGACTGATTAGGAAAAAGGTAATCAATTCATCTGCGTGGTCTCCAGGAGTGTGGGATGTTCGGAAGTTACCAGTGATCAATTTTTTTTTCCTTTTTTTTTTAATGTTGAGAAGGACGAACGGAAAAAATTTTTACCGATCATGTATGTGTCACTTCTTTATTTATTTATATTTTTTGTTTTTCTAATTTACCTTTCGTTATCGATGCGGGTATGTTTCATCAAGTGACTTCTGATACCGTTTCGTTTCTTTATGATGGGTTATTTACCGTTGGAAAATGAAATTGTTGCATTCCTTTGAAGCTGTGGCTCGAAGTGATTGTCAAAAGGGTGATGAATTGTTGTTGTTGGTCTCTCTGAATATTTGCTGGCTGAGAGACAATCTGCCGTAATTTTGTGTCGGACCCGACAGTTTTGAATGCGCAGTACGATACAAAACATTATTTCGGATCGTTTGTGTTGAGTGGTCGTGATTCCCATTGTGGCCGGAGTACGAAGAACGATGCCCGAGGCGACAGTAGCGAAATCGGTGAGGTTGGGATTGAAAACTTGGCGAGAGTTTTTTTTTTTTTTTCGTCTACATTTATGTAAGCAGTACAGTATAGTGTATGCAATAATGGTGTATATTTTGTTGCTAGTACGAGGAGGTCAATGAGGAGATGCGTGTGCTCAGTGACCGGATATCGGAAGCGGAACTAATGTTGAACTCGGCGACCATGCCGGAAATAAAGCGGTATGTGTTGCACAGTACTGTAGTTATCGCTTGGAGATTTTCTTGATTTATTCATTCTTTTAGTGTGACCTTGGAGAAGGAATTGAACGCCCTCAAGGATTTGCTGGACCACCATCGACATCACCTGCGTGAGCTGCGGTCTGTGCGCAACTCCATCATCATTCTCGGATCATTCCTTACCGTCGCGATCATCGTGGTTGTGTTTGCCTACCAAAAGTATTATTCATTCCAGTGACGAGAAAATCCCTTTTTTTTCATTTCCCTCATTCCTTCGAGTGAATCGATGCAGCCTGTGTGTGTCTGTGGAAAGTTGCATGTTCAAAGAATGCAAGTCCAGTGCATTCCCTTGGTACCGAACTGTATACAATGTAGAACAAGAGGGGAGAAACAACTCCGTTTTTTTTTTGTTTTTTTTTGGGCTTGTTCGTTTGTGTGTGTGTGTGTACTCTTGCTATCCATGATTGGTCTGCAGGTGATGCCGGAGCCATGTGTCTGCCACTGGTTCTGAGAGCCGCACGAGTGAATTTAGTGATCGTCAGGCACGTGTCGTTTGGCGAGAACACGGTGAAGTTGCGGAAGGAGTTCTGGGAGAAGGAGGCCCTGTGGTTGGAGCGGGAAACCTTGTCGGCCTTGTCACCCGCGGAAAGGCTCATTCGGGACTTGCACCTCAAGGCGATCAGTGAGGGCCACTTCACCTACGATGACCCCGAAACTGGGCTTAAGGTCCTCACCCGTCTTCGCCACTTTCTGAAGGGCCGGTGTTGCGGCAATGCCTGTCGACACGTGAGTGGGAGAGAGAAATAGCTTAGGTCTGTCTGTCTCGACGTTAAATCTTTGTTTTTGAGTGCGCCTTTTTGCGTTTTTCTTTCCCTTTTTCGTTCACGCAGTGCGTTTATGATCTCGAGAACGCCCCGGAAGAACTGAAACGGAAACGAAGATTCAACTCTTCCTTTTGGGTGGACATTAGTGGGTCAGGTGTGGAATCTTTGGAGGACGACGATGACGATTATGACAGTATATTTCTATCGATAGAACCCAAGCCGAAGAACATGTGACCGGTGTTGAAATCGTGGTTGTGATGAAAGTAATCTCGCTAGTACAGCATTGGACCCCCACACCTCGTTTCTCGCTTGTTTCTTGCGTTCCAAAACGGCAATTTCCCGAGGTTATTGTAAGGAAACCATCACCCGCTGTGTGTTACAGGAAGATGAAGAGTTCGGAAGATGGGAATTCTGCGCATCTGAGTGCAAAAGGAAGTGTGCCCTTGAACGGAGACGCGGTCGATGTGGACTTTTCCTTTTCGGGTGGCCATCAGGGATCTGCGGTAAAGTTTTCTTTCATTGAATTTCCCGTTGACACATTCTTAATCATTTTATTCATAGTTTTTTTTTTCTTCAGTTTATTGAGATACGAGCTGTAAATGCGGAGAAGAAAGTGGACCTGTGGACCAAGTTGAACGAGGAGGACTTCAGCAATATTGCGGGAAACGGTTGCTCGCTCGAGCGGTTCTCAGCCGAGATTTTCTCACTGCTGAACTCGCGAGGAAGTGGGTCTAGGTATTTAAAAGAAGAACGAGAAACTAAAAAGTTCCACTCTTCAACTGAGGGATTGGGATTTTTTTTTTAAACCCAGACGCCTGGAACTGACGACAACATCGGATCCTGGCACTGTTGGTGTTGGTCTCGCTTTGATTCACGTGAACGGAGTTTGGGAGGCCGAAGAACTCGTAATCCCGCTGGCGGACACCCCGGCGAACGTGAAGCTGGCCCACGCCTGGTCCCTGCTCGTGCGCAAAGCCGCGGAAAGTGATGCCCTGGCCCGACGCATCGACGCCCGGGAGCGGGAACTTGAGTCCCTGTGCCCGGAGACGCGGAGTTTGATTGCTTTGCGGGAATCTGTGGATCTGCTCAAGGGCCAGGTGTCGTCGGATCGGTCGACGTTGGCCGTGTCTGCCGTCGACGATGTTGAGGACGACGAGCTGGCCGAGTTGCAGAAGGCCATTGAGGATTGCCGGTGTCGGCGAGAGGAGAGCGAGCTGAAGATTAAAGCATTGGATAATTTGGCGCATTCCCTGAGTGCAGCTTGTGGCCCGTTGGTTGAGGAGAAGAAGTTGTTGGAGGCCAAGGCGAGAGCCGACGACACAGTCAATCGTGTCCAGCGGAGGGTAATTTTCTTTTCCTTTTTTCAGTTTATTTTGAGTGGCATTGAGGAAATGTAACTGACATTGAACGGAGCTTGTGTGAAGTCGCATCGCGTAACACAAGCTGCTGATAATTTGTGGAGAGGTTTAATTTTCGAAAAATTAAAAGAGAATGTAAAAGTACTTTTTTTGTGGAAATACGGTGATCAAGCTGTATTTCATTAATTTGTTTTAATCCTAGGAAGACGGGCTGAAGGAACTTCGAGGAAAGCGAGACCGGGCCCGATTCGAGGCGGCGAGGATCCGAGAACGAGTGCAGGCGAGCAAGCGCAGAGTACATCATGGACTCTTGCCGGGCCATCGGGCCAAAACTGAGGCACTGGCCGATTCGTCGCGTCGAATGGCGGTGCTCGAGTTGAAGATCAAGCGTCGCGAACAAGTGGGCTCGAGGGTGGCCCGGGAGCTGATGGCGGAGACACTGGAAATGGCGGCGTGGGAGCAGCGGAGGGCGGACTTGGAGAGGCTGAACGCGTGGCTCGGGGCCCGAATGCAGGACGAGAAGGCCAGGTTGGAACGGCAAGTGTCTGAGTTGCGACTCGCCAAGTGTCGACTCAAGGGCGCCGCCGAACTGGACCTCGTCGCCTGTGTCGGAGACCGTCTGTCCAAGAGCAAAGCCGTCATTGCTGCTGCTGCTTCTTTTACTACTACTGTTGTTGCCACCACCGTCACTCGAAACTTTCCTTGACTTGAAATATTTCTATTTTCGAGAAAGAGAAAAAATTTTGGAATATACTTTTGGACCCCGAAAGGAAGGTGTGTGTGTGTGTGTCCCTCTCTCTCCTGTGATTCAGTCTGGCAGTTTTTAACGAATGGGTGTACAAGAAGGAGAAGAAATGGTTTCTGTTCTTTTTTATGCGCTTGGCAGGGAAAGTATCGCAGTAGCGTCAGAAATGGCGGAAAGCTTGGCCAAAGCCTCAGAATTTGAGTATCAGTTGGAAGACTCATTCCTCCACTGGTTCTTTTCGCCAGTCATGACCGAGAAATGTGTTCGCATTATGCTCGTGGACTTTGATGTATTTCATGGTGAGTTGACAGGAGAGCATTTTCGTCCGCAACACTCTACAGTACTGAATATGCTTTGATTCATTTTATATGCAGTGGATTGTATGAAGACGGTGATCAGCAAAGTGCTTGGCTACGGGATCATCCTTGGGTCGATTGCTGGTGAGTCGATGAGCTTGGGACGTTACTTTGATGAGAAAATGCTTCACGTGTGTGTCGATTTCCCCAGTGAAAATCCCGCAGATCGTCAAGTTGTTCAGGGGAAAGAGCGGAGCCGGGATTTCCGTGACGTCCGTGTCACTCGAATTACTGGCCATCACGTTCAACGCAGTTTACAGCTATGTCCGAAGTTATCCGTTCAGGTGGGTCCCTTGAGAATGAATGATGACAATGACGACGACGACGACTTGTTCTTTTTCTGCTTGTTGTTTGCAGCACATGGGGGGAAGGAGCTTCTTTGGCGCTGCAGACTTCCATCATTGGCGCACTGGTGCTGTTTTATGAAGTGGGCCCCAAGTTCGGAGGCCTGTATTTGATTGTCTACAGCTTGCTGACTTCGTTTTTGGTCAGCCCCGTCGTGCCTGTGGATGTCCTTTGGTTCCTCAACTGTCTCACCATACCATTCGTGGTGTTTGGAAAGGTGTGATGTGGTGGATTGCCGTATTTCGGATGACTTGAATTGGCCGAGGGATGGGTGAAAGTGGAAAATGTGAACTGCACTGCGCTTTTTTTTTTTTTTTTCTAGTCGATTCAAGCGTACACGAATTACCGCAACGGACACACGGGACAGTTGAGCATCATCACCGTTTCCCTACTCTTCTTGGGGGCCGTGGCTCGGATTTTTACGTCGTTGCACGAAACCGGGGACTTGGTCCTGGTGTCAATCTATTGCACGTCCACGCTGGTCAACGGCGTCATCCTGTCCCAGTTGCTTTGGTACTGGACGGCGACGCAAACATTCCTTGCTGCACATGCCAAGACTGACTGACACACGAGCAGAGCAGAGCAGATGGACCAGCAGTCCAATCGTTCATTCTTTCCATCATTCATTCATTCAATCAATCAGTCTGCGGGATTCTTGACTTGCCTATCTACAATTTACTTATTCCTTCTGTGAAACGGTTTCTATAGCTCGTGGTTTGGCCGAGAGTTTCCCTCCCTTTTGAATCTTGACGGGAGGCATTACGGGGATGCAAAGAGCATTTTGTTGGCTAGTTTATTTTTTTGTGTGTGTGTCTTGTCTGTTGGGGAGGGGTGGGGTGGGAAAATGTTTCGTGGGATTTGAATAAAACGCTGGTGTGTCTCGTGCGCGCGTTCGTGATGACGCCCGGTTACCGTTGCTCTTGCCAGTTGTTTTGTGTGTGTTCGTGTGCATGTATGTGGGTGTGTTGACGCAGTGCTTAGAGTTTTTGAACGTTTTATTTACGCACGCAGGGATTTTGTGTCAGTCACTGACTGGTTGGTGTGGAACTTGGGATTATAAATCAAGATGACGAACCCCAAGGGCTACCGGCGCGGTACGCGCTACATGTTCTCGCGGGACTTTCGCAAGAAGGGCTACATCCCGCTGTCGACGTACATGAAAGTGTACAAGGTTGGCGACATTGTGGACATCAAGGTACGTTTGTTTGTTCGCTTGATTTCTTTTCGGACGATGCCGTGTAAAAATGCTTGAAACGTTCAAGAATGATGGCAATTGTTTCGTGTTGACAGGGCTGCGGCGCAGTGACGAAGGGAATGCCGCACAAGTCGTACCACGGCAAGACGGGTCGTGTGTTCAACGTGACGCAACATGCCCTTGGGGTGATTGTGAACAAGCGAGTGCGTGGCAAGGTTTTGCCGAAACGGTTCGTTGTTAATTTTACTTAATGATTTTATTTTTGTCCTCTGGCTATTTCGGTATACAGTATTGTCTTTCAATCCTGAAATTCATCTCGTTTCGTTGTATGCTTCAGAATCAACGTTAGGATCGAGCACGTGAAGCACTCGCAGTGTCGCAAGGACTTTCTCGAGCGTGTCAAGAGCAACGAGGCCAAGAAGCGCGAGGCGCGAGAAAAGGGAATCCGTGTGCAACTAAAGCGACAGGTTGATAAACACATTTCTATTCATTGTGAGATTGATGTGCAGTATTTGCTGATTCTCAATTTACGTTTTTATTTTTCTTTTCGTTTTCATTCAGCCGGTTGGTCCTCGGCCTGGACACTTTGTTTCTACAAAGGATAATACGCCAGAGCTTGTGCAACCGATCCCGTACGAGTTCATCGCTTGAAGTGATTTCGCGCGTGCGACGGAGTTGGAGCGTTGGCTTCTTGAAATGGCAGTAAAAGGCTCCTCTCCCGCTTATTGCGAATCCCTCGTTTGGTTGTCTCGATTCATTTATGTGCAGTAGAGCTGCCTTGTATTTTGTAGTGTGTGTTCATCGTTGCCTCGCTTGTCTCTCTTTCCACCTTCAGGATCGACGTGTAATGTTGATTGACGGACGAGAAAACTTGGAGGTGTCGATTCTATTTATTTTGGTTTAATTTTTTTCCTAGCGAAGCTGGAATTGTGAGATTGGACAAGTGTTGACTTTTCGTCGTGAAATGAGAACGAAGGGTTCCGGGCTTTTGATTTCCCTCGGAGCTGAAGGTGATGCAGGTTCGCTTGAATGCCAAGTTGCAACAGCGGATACACCGCTTAGGCCGGCTGGCTAGCGAATAATACCAGCTTCATCTGCTGGTTATTGTCGGGGAATTTCCTTTTTTTTTGCACGTTACTTCGTGAAAGTGCGTATGCGTGTATGAAATCGATTTTTGTCCAAAATGAACCGCGTCGATTGCAGTACAGTCGTGCAGCAGTGAACTTCAGTAGGAGTATTAGTGCAGGGTGGGTTGCCGTGATTCAGACGAGGCTAGGGCAATCATTCAAATCTTCCTCGTATCTTCTGCTGGAACTGCGCATGTGGTGTGGTTAACCGTGGATTTCGAAAATGGGCGAGTCGCACTAATGATGTCTGCGACACGCTGGATGCAGCAGCTTTCATTACATCGTCGATGATATGAGGGTGTAATGAGACACATTACTGTACTCGTGGGATGTGCATGTGATGCATAAATAGTCCAATAATTTAGTGCATGCTTCTTATGATCACGCAGGAATTCTTTTCTTTTTGAATTAAATTACATGTGACCTTTCAACAAGGTCAGTACTTTTGACGTGATGCCGAGCAATAAGAACAAAATTTCACGGTTGTTTTTTCACTATCTTGAAAGGAGTATACATTCGGAACATTATTTCGTAATATTGCCTGTATACCAGCAATTGATGGGAAAATGAAGGAAACTCATGGACCCCTTCAACCTCCATATGTACGGGCCCGCGCATATTCCCGACTCGGGAGTTTCCGACGCCCCGCAAGAAGTAACTCGGCTCCGCCCTGCTGGCGTACCCCCTCCCGGACCTGGGTCTTTCCTTGGGTGACGTTCCCTTGTGAAAATCCTGAAAAGCATTAGGGATACCAGTTTGGTCCACTTTCATTATTTGTTCATTCTGATATTTTCATTATTGGAGGGGGTTAGCTTAGGTTAGGTTAGATTGTTTGGTTAGGTTATAGGTTATAAGCATTGCAAAACTTTGTCATGAACGACACCCTCCAATAATGAATGAAAATGTGCAGGATTTACAAAAACTTTCAGATTATAAGATCCCTCTGCACTCGGGCATCTTCCCAGAGAGGCTCAAAACCTGCATTCCCTTGTTCAGCATATGAACATTTAACCATGGACAATCACCATCTTTGAGATAATGAGCTCCCTGTGGCATCTTCCCGGAGAGGCTCATAACGTTGGTTCCCTTGTTCAGCATATGAACAAGGGAACGTCACCCAAGGAAAGCCCCAGGTCCGGGAGGGGTATGCCAGCAGGGCGGAGCCAAGTTACTGCTTGCGGGGCGTCGGAAACTCCCGAGTCGGGAAAATGTATGTGCCCATATGTACTGCATGTTGCAGAATTACAGTATATAAAACCGGTCCTGTGTAATTCCCGAGATTATGTGACGCGAAGTAATTTAAGTTAAGAATACGTGCCACCGGAAATATATATTTTACTACTATTATTCTCCCCAGAGGAGCTTCGCCATCCAAGATGACTGGACATTTTGAGGTCTCGATCGCTGCCGCTTCGGGGGGATGATGTACAGCAGTTGAATATCAGGTAAGCCACATAATATGGCGCTTGATGAATGCAGTTTACTGTAGTTATGCAGCTCAGCAGTACGGTACCGAATCGTGCTATACATCACTATATACGATCCCTTATTCGTTATACCGATTATGATACATGCTTCTTATTTTACCTTGTGTGCAGAATATTCCTGCATGAATAAATGAACTGCACTGCTGTATATAATTTCGGCCAGCAAACCTCCAAACCACTGCACCCCCCCCCCCCCCCCCCCCCA